TGAAGAGTTTATTTGCAAAAACAGATTTTAAATGTTAAAAAATCACATTTTTTATCATGTTGTCATGTTTTTATTGTTTTATTGTGTTAGCTGTATTTTTAAGTTCATTTTTAACCTAATCAAAATAACCCAACTGCAGTTTGATTGAGATTAATTGGAATGCACAATGAAAAAACATTATTTTTGTTAAAATAGTTAAAAACGGAGTTATCTGTTTTTGCAAATGAACTCTTCATATGTTGTACATTGAGAACTGTAGTGTGGGTGGGAACTATTTACGCGTGGCGGCGGATGTATTTGTGTGCAGCACCCGCTGCTGCTGCTCTGATTATTGCTGGCGCTTGTCAAAATGAAAAGTGGAAGGCAATGGATTCGTTCTGTTTTTCTGTTTATCTGACATAACATCGCTACGGATGAGCTATTGGTCATACAGACAGGCCGTTTTTTATGAATCTGTAATGTTTATGGATGTCTGCAGTTATCGTCTCACGGCGAGAGATATATAAAGGTTATGTGACCATTTTTCGCTGTGAAAGGTCGCAATGGATCGAGCAGTAAACTCCGACCCTGTCAATACAGCCGACACTGGTAGGATGGTTGTTGACATTTTATGATATATAAATTTTATTTTGAGATGTGTTTATCTGTGTGTCTCCAGGTTGTCAACGCTGGAGGAATTGGATTGGATTTTGGTAAGTGAATCCTCTGTTAACTTTTCTTCAAATAAGTGATACAAAATATGTAAAGTGATCTTTATTATCTCTATCCAGGCTACTGGGACTTTGCAATAACTTCGCATATGTGGTGATGCTGAGTGCAGCACATGACATCTTACAAAAACAGGAATCTCAAAACACAACGACACCTGTAAGACATTTCTGAGCTTATTAACTTATTATAACTAAGTTATCGAATATACTTGAAGAGAATATAATATTAGTTCAAATGAACTAAGATCCCTTGTGTTTACTTGAAGTACACTTTCATGGCTGTTTATTAAACATAAATGCTTGCCAGTACATTCACCAGTACACTTTTTTTAACCATATTTCAAAGTCAATAGAAGTAATAATGAAATTACATATAAAGATAAGTCCAATTTATGTTTAAAAACTCTCTCAGTTCAACTAATTGCATGTCATATAATTGTAAACTACAATACAGTTTCATTTAATTCAATTCTGAAAACATTACACCCGCAAGTATATGTTTTTAGGTATATTATTTCCATATGTATGCTTTTTAAGAGTGTGCTAAAGTGTACTTCTTTTTTTCGCAAAAATGGACTACTCAGTGTTTCTTGTTTTGTTCTTTCCCTAGACTCCTGCTCCAAATGGGACTAGCATAGAGATCAGCAACAGCAGCCGCTATGACTGCAATGCTGTGTCCACTGCAGTAAGTCTGTCTGTCTGTCTGCCCTGTCTTTCTTTTTCTCTTTGGTTTTTTGTTTCACCTGTACAGACTTGTCCCACATTTAAGTGTAAGTTTAAATATTTGTTCATGGAGTGACACCTTGTTTTCTTTCTGTTTCTAGGCTGTGCTGTTGGCTGATATCTTACCCACCCTCCTAATCAAATTCACAGCACCTTTCTATATACACAAAGTGCCTTATGGGTAAAGTTGGCCAGCACTTCTTTATCTGAGATCTAATTGCAAACATCCATCAGCATCTTGAAACAGGTTTAGCTGGTTAG